AACTATCCCTTGATAATGGTGATACAGTAAAACGTAAGCATTGTTTTTAAAGCTGGGTTGGTGTGATATAACTATCCCTTGATAATGGTGATACAGTAAAACGTAAGCATTGTTTTTAAAGCTGGGTTGGTGTGATATAACTATTCCTTGATAAAGCTGACACAGTAAAACGTAAGCATTGTTTTTAAAGCTGTGTTGGTGTGGTATAACTATCCCTTGATAATGCTGATACATTGAAACATAAGCACGGTTAAAGCTGTGTTGGTGTGATATAACTATTCCTTGATAAGGCTGACACAGTAAAACGTAAGCATGGTTAAAGCTGGGTTGGTGTGATATATCTATTCCTTGATGAAGCTGATAGATTGAAACATAAGCATGGTTAAAGCTGTGTTGGTGTGATATAACTATTCCTTGATAAAGCTGATAGATTGAAACGTAAGCATGGTTTTTAAAGCTGGGTTGGTGTGGTATAACTATTCCTTGATAAAGCTGACACAGTAAAACGTAAGCATGGTTAAAGCTGTGTTGGTGTGATATAACTATCCATTGATAAAGCTGATACATTGAAACATAAGCATGGTTAAAGCTGTGTTGGTGTGGTATAACTATCCATTGATAAAGCTGATACATTGAAACATAAGCATGGTTAAAACTGTGTTGGTGTGGTATAACTATCCATTGATAAAGCTGATACATTGAAACATAAGCATGGTTAAAGCTGGGCTGGTGTGGTATAACTATCCATTGATAAAGTTGATACATTGAAACATAAGCATGGTTAAAGCTGTGTTGGTGTGGTATAACTATCCATTGATAAAGCTGATACATTGAAACATAAGCATGGTTAAAGCTGTGTTGGTGTGATATAACTATCCATTGATAAAGCTGATACAGTAAAAGGTAAACATAACTATTAAATCTCTGTTGGTACGTCAAAGCAGCAATTAAAGCAAAAACAACCTCTGACTTTGTTATAGAGATAAAATGATTCATGTGTAAGTAGGTCTTCATTTATTGTATAATAGAAATTTTATGTATTAGCGGTATTTACTTTGTCATGTCAAATACACATGATTTAAAGTATAACATATAGTTATCCGTAAATGTATATTTAACAGTGATTTTTATATGTCAGTTTTATGAGAATTTGTCTTTGCGAAAGTTTTAAGTACATGACTTAAATATGCATTATGGATATGACACTCAATGTGTATATGATACACTCTACTGCACCACATAAAGGTTAAGTCTAAAATACTTTAAGCCAGGTTTAATAATGACCTCAATAAGTCAATTATCTCCACACTTCTTTCTGTTAACTAAATCGTACTAATTTCTTTCTTTTTCGAAGAAAGATATTGATGAAAACTTGTACATATACGACATGTTTTTTGTTTTTTTCTAGTTTGAAATGACTTTCGGTTTGTTTTTCATTACAATGTTCAGATATAACCTGTATCTACCAGTTGCTGATAGCCCATTGAAAGAGAAGGTTATCCAAACTGACGCAAAAATTGGAACGTTTCATGTCCAAAATGGTGGGAGTTACATCTTAACACTCGCACCCATAAACCACACTGAGGTAAGATTTGCATCATAGTATCTGCTACATAGAACAAAGGTTACATCTTAACACTTTCTCCCATTAACCACACTGAGGTAAGATTTCTACTACAGCACCTACTATTCAAGAAAGAAAGGTTACATCTTAACACTTGCCCTTACCAATAACACTGAGGTAAGATTTGCAACACAGCACCTGTTATTCAAGAAAAAGGTTACATCTTAAAACTTTCTCCCATTAACCACACTGATGTAAGATTTGCACCACAGCTCCTACTATTCAAGAAAAAGGTTACATCTTAACACTTTCCCTTACCAACAACACTGAGGTAAGATTTGCACCATAGCACCTGGTGCTAATTAGATGGTGAAACGAGTGTTAGTAAAATAGTTTTTGCTTTTCATGCTAAAGGTAAGGCATATCAAAAGTAAACTGAATATGGATACAACAAGTTAAAGTGAAACAGCAATAAAAAGTTCAAAGTAGTCTCAAGGATTCGAAAACACACTTTTTAAGAAAGGGAAATATTTATTTGGAAGCACATGTCTTTCTTGCCTTCCCGGATATTTTGTGAAATTTGCTAGGTATAATAGTACATCTTGGAACATAGTTGTCTCATACATGGCCTTTTTATGTGATACTCATAGAGGCAACATTTTAAATATAAGTTGATGAAAAGCTTCTGTAGAGGAAGTGGAGTTTGTTCTTTGGAAAATGCTGCTGTTGGTTCTTATACGTCATTAAGACGGGAATTGGTGTGATAGCTGAAGTGCAACCATGCATTGCACTTCAGCTATCCATCAGTTCCCGTCTTAATGACATTTAAGAACCAACAGCATGATGGATGTTTCAGTTCCGCTACTTATTTACTTATGGCTGCAATGCATGGCAGCCATAAGTAAATAAGTAGCGGAACTTAAACATCCATCATGCTGTTGGTTCTTAAATGTCATTAAGACGGGAACTGATGTGATAGCTGAAGTGCAATGCATGGCAGCCAAAAGTAAATAGTAAGTAGAACTTAAACATCCATCACAAAATATAAGATTCCAACTTTCAGTATTAGCATCCGAAGATTTCAAACCAAGTAGCCTCGCATTTAAAGAGTTGAATTAGGAAGTAAGATGATACAAGAGGAATTATGTATTAACATTATTAACTGTACTTGAAAAATGCTTTCAACGAAAGAAGAAAAATGATAAAGTTTTCACTTCCTTTTATATAAATCTCACCAACTTTTGTTTTATTATCTAAGTTTTTATGCTTGGTGTACATCATTGTAAACACTTAAAATTCATAACAACAAGCATACGTTCCTAACTTCTTGAATTGAGGATCCTTTGTCCACTGTACTCTAATAAATATACACGTGTGACACTTCATTAATAGGCCCGGCATGGCCAGGTAGTTAAGGCACTTGACTCGCAATCTTTGGGTCGCGGGTTCGAATCCCTGTCACACCAAACATGCTCGCCCTTTCAACCGTGGGGGCGTTATAATGTGAGGGTCAATCCCACTATTCGTTGGTAAAAGAATACCCCAAGAGTTGGCGGTGGGTGGTGATGACTAGCTGCCTTACACTGCTAAATTAGGGATGGCTAGCGCAGATAGCCCTAGTGTAGCTTTGCGCGAAATTAAAAAGGAAACAAACACTTCATTAATAGGCATAGGGATTAAATAAAGGTTTACAGTTTACTGTTTTGCTGGCCTCCTTACTGCTGATTAATCTTGTTTTCTGTTCGTTATGAATGTGGTTATATTCCCTCGTTTCATCCAAACAGCAAAACATTCTGGTCCAATAAAAACAATGTACCGGGATTCTTTTAGTTGTATGTTTACATATTTATATTAAGTGACGTTTCAAGCTGAGCATGCGTAGAAACCTTTTTTTTAGTTTTTTTTTTTTATGCTGACGAGTTTTGTCAACATTGTTTAAATTAATTGTTGGCTTTGGTTTATTTATTCTTTTTTAAACTTAGAAGCTGGGATTTCATACATACACCATCATTCGACCAAATGAGATTTCGATATTCCTACAAATCCCACAGTACATGGTTATCACAGCAGGAGAAATCATGTTTTCAGTTACTGGCCTTGAATTCTCCTATTCTCAGGTAAGTGAAACATCAATATTTAGTGGTATGTGCCACATTTTTGGAATTTCAAGTATATCAGAATTTTTTTGAAAGCGACTGTTGAATTTGAAGTTTGAATTTTATTACTAATATATATATATATATATATATATATGTGTGTGTGTGTGTGTGTTCAAAAAGGGACAGGATTTTCTTTTACACACGCGCCTCTCCAGTGGCACAGCGGTATGTCTGCGGACCTACAACGCTAGAAACCGGGTTTCGATACTCGTGGCGGGCAGAGCACAGATAGCCATGCTTCTCTACAAATTATAATGTTGATAGACGCATATCTATCTGTTGCTTGAAGATATTCCCTTGCAACATTAAAATAACATGTTATATCCTGCACGTAGTTTAAACGACCTTTCTTCATCTTACATAGTCTAATAAACTATGGAAAAAAGTACAAAACAAACAAACAAAAAGAAACCTTCAGCAGTGAAAAACTACTTCGTACATCATAGTAAATGATTTCACAAGGAAACATTTAAAAAACATCTTTAACAATGAATCCATTAATCCTCTTTAGGAGAAAGTAACACTATGTACAAAAACTGAAAAACAACAACATTGAAACAAAATTGTTAAATTTAAATCTTACAGAACTTCACAAAGATGTACAATTTAGATAGAAATGTAGAGCTACTCACCCAAAGGAGTCCCAACAACAAGTCTTCCAATATAAGTGTGATTTTTTCAGTGCACTGTGATAGTCTGACAGATTATCTCTCAGGCTATCACAAGAGCTTTCTGAGTTCGTGCCAGATCCTCTCGAATATAACACACTTCTTCCTCCAAATGCATTAATGTATCTTTCTACTCCACCAACTGGTCTCCTTCACGGATGTATAATGTCTAAGTAGCCATCCACAAAGGGTATCTCTTTTTGACCGTGGAATTTTGACATCATTATCTGCTAGAGTGATGGCCATTTTGCACCTATTCGAGGATTTTGTGGGGAGCATTACCTTCTCCATCCTTGTATCCGGAGCCACTGATAAGAATGCTATTAATGATGTTTAAGTTGATACCCTGGTACTTGTGATGGAGGTTGCTCTGTCCTCAAATAATGCAGGCCAGTAACCATACTATCTATGAAGTTATGCATGGTGGTTGTTGAAAGAGGAGAGAAAAACAATGAGTATTTTGTGTCGTTGCTCTTGCAGTCGTGGGTAAAGGAGCCGGAGGAACAGACGCGCTTTCTCATTTGATGGATCATTATCGGTGGTATAGCTGTAGGAAGGTATTGCTGGAATGCAAAATTTGACTGTCCCACTAGAGGGGAGCACACATATGATGATGATTATTCTTTTCAACAAAACATCATCTGATGGGGCACAGATACTTCTCTATTGCCTTGATGTTGTACTTTTCGGACCTTTTAGGCCTAATCTGCTCCTTCATTTCAAGGGATTTGCACGCTGTACATTGTGGGTTCAGATGAACCCACAATCCCTGGCTCCTTAGGTTCTGCATTTGAGACAACTAATGGTGATGTGATGCTTATTTCTTGCTTATATTTCAAAGTCTGGAGGAACAACACCACAGTCACTGCCTCCAGACTCTGCATATTGGATGGATCGTTGAGCAATGCATCTTCATCCATAGGCTCAGAAGACATAAAAATTTATAGCATAAAAAAATCGAAAAGAAATTATTCACAATTTTCTCTTTCCATTTCATCAGTAATTGGGATATTTTTTCTGCTACAAAGAGAACACAGGTAACTCCAAATGGCAGGTTAAAGTATAAAGATAGCCAGAAGCGTTAAGTAGTTGATCTTAAATAATGAAAGTCAAAGTTCAAAATGCAGGGTTAAAACGACTCTGATTAGTCATAATAACCTAGTCTACAGGATTATGTATCCTTTTGCTTAATTTGCCTTGCTACCTGTCGACCATACTCAATGCAAGCACACTCTGGTCTCGAGCTTGGCCTAAACCTCAGCTGTGCTCTCTAAGGTTGTCATGAGCATGACGACAATCCTCAGCTAGCCTGTAACATTTCCTCCACTACTATCTTGTTGTTGAACCAACAGAATTCAGGTCCAATTGGAGAATAAGAGTGCCCACACTGGTGACTAATATAGACCAACAGCCATTGAAGTGTTGACCTGATATCTCCAACCACATAAATTCATCAGCACCTACGTCTCTCTCCCATATGACTTTCTTCAGCTACAAGTTCAACACAAAGGAAAAATAGATACACCTCATACAAAGGTGTTACATCTCACCTCCAGCATTTCATACTAAATCTGTATTTACATGCATTCTAACTGGCCTTGTACCAAGTAATGTTAAGAATATATTTAGAAAACTCTGCATGATCGAAAATCTTTTACTTAACAAATAAAACACTGGATACATCAAATGTACATTTGTTATGTTTAGTGATCCTGTTTATAGATTTTATTTTACACGGATAATTTCACGTCAGCCACTTACATTTCAGTTCGACCTGGCTGAAATGCTACAAGCCAAACTTGTAAACACAGATCAAACTTTTTCCTGCAAGTGTGGCATGAGTTACTTTCATCACTATTTATAAAATACACTACCTGTGGAATGTTTCAGCAACAACAATAAAAAAAAACAGTCTCACTGTTCCTTCAAATAATGGTTTACAAGCCAGTAACTACAGTTAACTTCATACCTCAAAGTCTTAACATCCTGTTCAAATTTTCTTATTCTCATTCGAAAGCTGCCCTCTGGTGGCTGTATTTTCAGTGGTTAATTCATTTTGTGTAGGACAACACTTACGAATGACTTTGGGTGAAGTTTAGTACATGTATGCAAATCCTCAAACACATATCGCAAGTGTGTGGTTACATAGACACATACATATGCATTTTCAACTTCCACAGATCAACATATGCATTAGTAGTTTTCAAAAGACATCTCAGGCATATGTATCAATACCATACTAATAATCTACACAAGCTACATTCATGAATTACTTATCAGTCATCTTGGTCATGTAATGTGCTGTTACCTGTGAGTGGTGAATCTCAAAATAATTTTACTAGCTTTCCAAAATAAATGATTCCTGGTGGAATTGAGCAGAACTATACTATTCAGAAAAACTTTTTATTCTAGAATTAATATTTCTTCTGTCGTTACTTTGTATATCAATACACCTTCAATTCAGCTATGGCTAAACATGGTAGTCAACAGTAAATGTTGAATCACCGTTTGGAATGGTTGCGAACCATGGAAAACTAGGATACTGTACTGCTTCACACAAGTTGATTCACTCCTGTTAGTTGGCATCACAGCAAAGCAAGTTCAGCTATGGCTAAACACGTTAGTCAACAGTAAATGTTGAATCACCGTTTGGAATGGTTGCGAACCATGGATAGCTAGGATACTGTACTGCTTCACACAAGTTGATTCACTCGTGTTAGTTGGACATCACAGCAAATCAAGTATAGGTGACTTCAATGAAACAGTCACGCAGTCCACTTAATGTGTTTGGGGAGAACACATTTCCCTCACTGCACACGGAGGAATCATACACAGTTAAATGGACAGTACAGTCATTTCTCTAGAGAATCCCTTGGGTTGTTCAGGAAAACTGCAACTATATGATATCTATAATTGGTCGAGCAGCCCAACAGCAGATGGAACAATACATTTTGTTTAGCCATGAGTCATGCAGCCGGGCAACAGATCTATACGCATTTGAGGTGAATCTGGAATCGGATCCGATCCCATTTTTTTTTTGTAGTAATTTAACACATGTGGTAGTAGTGAAAGTGTGGTATGTGCACGGATAAACAATGGTGGATCATGACTGGCCTCCACATGCTATAGAATTGTACAATTTATGTCACAAAAATGGTCATCTCATTCCTTGAAGAAGAGGTGATTGAATGAATGGAGTATTCAACGTAATCCACGCACTTCAATAATATCGAACATGTATAAGATGTTCTTTGGAAACTGGTCATGGCCCCTCAAGTGACTCCAGACACCATAGGTGCTCTTGAAACGACTCTCTCAGAAGAGGGGTTCAGGATGCACCAAAGATTTATCAAATTCTGCTTTCAAGCATACCAAAATGAATATTTGTTTGTGGGAACCATGAAGTGAAAATTTATGAACTGTATAAATGTTAAACCACTTCTACCAAATGTTCAGTTACGAGTGAATGCTGAATGGTTAATTATACGCATTTCAGATTACAGGATAAATTATCAGAAGGATGAAAATCAACTGTAGGAATTGGCTGACATTATTTTGTAACAGTATTTATTACAGCTTATACTGGGTGTGGTTTCATTTTGTTTGAAGTTAAGCAAAAAAAAACTACACAATGGGCTATCCAGTTTCTAGCGTTGTAAGTCCGCAGACATACTGGGCTAAGGATAGTACAGAAAAGTTTAAGAATAGGCAAGTAATAAAACCATAAAAATAAAGAATCGATACCTGACATGTAACAGTATAGAACTATTTCTGAAGAGAATATGGGTGGTACTGGGATGTTCGTTTGGCGTTGTTTTGTGAATTTCTATGCATGCATCCTCTTCAAGTTTTGTTGTAATCTAATTATAAGCGTAAAATGCGAACGTTATCTGATGAAAATTTGTGGTCCTTGTTTGCAAAGTTCTCACATGTGTGTAATATAGCTTGCTTTTGTGTTCTTTCATGAGAGTTCCCATGCAACATGTCAGATCCTTTGTAATAAACACAGTGTTAATCCCTTAGCTTCTATGGTTTATTACTTATCAACTTGTTAATTTTTCTGTTCTCGTGTATTAACTGATGATGCCTGGTCAACACTGGCGAAAGGCTGTGTCATATGTTTATCTTTATCTTAGTAAAGTCCGTAATATGCATTGTTTTAAATATATTGTTTTGATGTCTCACACTGTTAGTCATTCTGTAACATTGGTATTTTCTTGACATAGTTAAAATGATGTAAATTGCGTTTGTCTTTTAACCATTTCTGTTTAGTATAAATTGGCCCTATCTGTTGCAATTTATCTATCAATAAACTTTTCATTACAGTCCATAAAAAGGTCCGTGAAATGATGTGCAGTGTGACAGAATCCTTTCCAGGAAATAATGGAATCAATTATTCTTGTAATAAAAAAATGTGGATAACAGTTCCTCCTTTGAGGACAATTTAACCCCGTGTGTTGGAATGAGGATCAAAGCGCAATGTTCCTAATGGATGATGATTTAGATATTGACATAACAATTAAGTTTCTTAGAAAAGTTTTTTTTTACTGAAGTTAATATTTGTTTCGTTTCAAATTCGAGTCAGTACAGTCATTGTAGACTTTATAGCTTGATCTTGTCCAGGTTCTTCCAGTAGTAGGCGTTTCGCGTTTAATATTGACTTCTCCAGTCAACGAAGTCACTGTTGAGGCAAAATTTTAAAGTTTAGCCTTGCCAAAAATAGTTATACCGTTATACGTTCCACAAGTAATTCTTTTAACTTGTATCGTTCAGGGGATCATATGATGCAAGTAATTATTTCAACTTGTATCGTTCAGGGGATCAAATGATGCAAGTAATATTTTAACTTGTATCGTTCAGGGGATCATATGATGCAAGTAATTATTTCAACTTGTATCGTTCAGGGGATCAAATGATGCAAGTAATATTTTAACTTGTATCGTTCAGGGGATCATATGATGTAAGTAATTCTTTTAACTTGTATTGTTCAGGGGATCATATGATGCAAGTAATTCTTTTAACCTGTGTCGTTCAGGGGATCAAATGAATTAAAATGCTTAAATACTTTTATTGGTTATTATAATTTCATAATAGGAAGAATGGCAAGTGACTCAGCGATTAGTTTGAAGGCTTATGCGACGAAATCGAGGTTCAATACCCGTGATTGACATAGTGTAGATGCCCTATTGTGTTGCTTTGCTCTTAAGAAGAAAAACAAAGTAAATTAAAACGTTTAAAAAACAGCTAGGTGAAATATGTTTTTTTGTAACCGTTCAAATCATTTTGTATCAATAAGATTAGTCGAATGCAAACAATATCGGTCATTTCTTTGTATTTAATGTCCAATTTGCCAAGCATGTCGATAAAGTTTTTATTGCTATTTTAATTACAAAAACGAAATTGTTCAATTACTTTTTCGGTTAACTGATAGATGGCGCAACGCGTGATAAGCAATGATTGTTAACTGAAATTTGTTTTTTTCTGTAAACATGAAATTTTCAAGTATTTGGTGTTGAAGTAAACATCATTTTATAAAGAGTCAAGTGTCTTTTAAAGTGATCCATAGATAACTAATTCCTTGATATGCAATTAAATAAGACATTTTGCAAAGCATTTAAAGTATTTTTGAATTTACAACTTAAAACAGAAAGGAATATTTCAATAACTAATTCAAATAAAAAGACAGAAATTTATGTTTTAATTTTAATCACATTTTCAAATACAAAACAATTATCTGTAACATTAAAAAAACGTTATTTCATATTTATTGTTTGTATATTTGTTTTGCGCAAAGCCACACATAAGGCTCCAACGTTCCAAACATGCACAATAATATATTGTATAAATTTAAAAGCAAGCATAAAAGCTAAAAAAAACTCTACACGCTTCGGTGTAACATGCTCCACCTTCTTCAGGAGACAATAAAAACACCAAAAATTTGATTTATTTGCCCAAGTAAATGTACGTGTACAATTTGTATATTGTACGATGGTGCCATTGATTTATATATCCAAGTAAATGTACGTGTACAATTTTTATATTGTACTGTGGTGCCATTGATTTATATACCCAAGTAAATGTACGTGTACAATTTGTATATTGTACAGTGGTGCCATTGATTTATATATCCAAGTAAATGTACGTGTACAATTTGTATATTGTACGATGGTGCCATTGATTTATATATCCAAGTAATTGTACGTGTACAATTTGTATATTGTACAGTGGTGCCATTGATTTATATATCCAAGTAAATGTACGTGTACAATTTGTATATTGTACGATGGTG